TTTTTCATTTTAGGGAAGGGTCTACAGGGTGTTCAGGGTCTCATTACTAGACTGGACTCATAGTGATCCACCCATTTACAGCCTCCCAAGAGCTGGGATTACAGGCACACACCACCATGCCCGGTCTCAATTGCCTTGTCTTAGCCCATCCTTGGGGTGGGGTTGGTACCACAGGCCTGGGGATCTAACCCCCGGCCCCTGTGCCTGCTTGCAGATGCTTTAGTCTGCTGAGTTATTTGGCTGACCTCCACTGGAAAATATATAAAAAAAAAATCAACATAGTCTACTTAGTTTGATAAAATGATGATTAGAGTTTGTTTATGAAGAAATCCAGCAATCATTCATACTTAGAAGACATGGATTCATATGTCTGAAGCCAATTTCATAATTCATTCAAAATGTCCCGATCTGTCAAGGAGCATTCTACTTTTTGGCCACAGCAGTCTCACCACTATCCAAATATGACTGCAATTACTCGAAAACAGCAATAACTACCATAACAAATTGCAGACTTTTGTTTATTGCTGTGATTCATTTGATGAAGTAGATTTTTTTATAAGTTCAATGATGACTTTAGGAAACAGTAATCTGAATTTTCCTGTTGTATACTAGAGTTTTTTTTAATACTCCGCTGAATAGTTGATAAGGTTCATACATCTGAAATGGGCTTGAACAACATGGAAAAACGGCCAGCCAAGGACCGCTGAAGCGCAGCCACTGATTTTAAACTGAAATCATCTGTGAGCGTCAAACTACTAGTTGTATTAGGGGAAGCTTTACTTAAAATGAATCATCCTTAATCTATATGAAAAAAATTCAACTGAATATTTCTGCTCAATTTCAAACTATATTTTATTATTAAAACTAGCCTAAAGTGCATTGTATGTGTGATGTGACACTTCGCTGTGGAATTAAGTGGTAACTCGACAAAGCAGTCATTATTATCAGATAATTGACCTTATTTGAGAGTTAAGCATCCCAAGGCAAAGTTGAGTGTACTTAATCCTGGCAGGTTAATTATCTAGTGATTAGGGAGCCTTGAAAGGTATTACTCTTAGGAACCATTTCCAAAATAGCACTATTCAAAAACTTCTTAATTTAATAAGAATGAAAAACAAGAATAATAATCAAGTTCTTTAGTCATGTATTGCTAGATAATGACTACAAAGGAGCTAGCATTAGCAGGCATCAATGGATATAATTTACAATTGCCTGCATGTAGAATGTCCTTTATTCAGCTGACTTGATATGAGCGCAGCTAACAAATGGCTGTTGCTGAAGGGAAATGCTTTAAAGTTTGAAAATGTCAGAAACAAATTAAAAATACAATTTAGAGAGCTTACATACTAGAGAAATTGCAAAACTATTTTAACATGGGTAATCAATCAGGTTTCATGTTTAATTTGCAAGTACAAAATGTAATCTAAGACAATTACCAAAGATTTTTAATTGAGGAAATGGAAATGTATCTGTCTGCATTTCTGTACCACAGTTAAGAGTAAGCTATGCAGAGCACACTGGGAGAGCACTTGCCTTGGACACACGGGGCTTTGGGTTTGATCCCTAGCACCGGTCTCCTCCCCAAAGTCAACTGCACATATAAAACCCATAATGAGATGTAATATCAGGCCTAAGAGGATTGTTATTATTTTTTTTTTTTAAAAAGGAAAAAAATAAGTTTGGCAAAAACTTGGACACAGAAACCTTCTGTATTGCTGCTGGGGATGTAAAATGGTACAGCGGGCTGCTATGGCAAAGAGTAGTCATTCTTCAAAGCTGAGTGTAGAATTATTACCACACAGTCCAGCAATTCTACACCTAGGTGTATACCTCAAAATGGTCAAGGTAAGGATCAGAACAATGTTCGTGGCAGCATTATTCATAATAGCTAAGGATGGAACCAAAGCAACAGATAAATGGATAAAATAAAATTTCACGCATACAATACATTATTCAGTCACAGAAAAGAATGAACCTCTGGTACATGCTATAACACGCATGAATCTTGAAAACATTATGTGACATAAGTGAGGTACTTCACGTAACTATTGTATGAACTACTGTATAAGGTACCTTGAACAGGCAAATTCAGAGACAGTAAAGAAGTGATTGCCAAAGGCTGTGGGGTTATTATTTAATGGTTACAGAGTTTCTGCTTATGTTGATGGGTGACAGCAAAGCTCTAGAGATGGAGAATGATGAGGGATATGTAATATTGTGAATGTACACAAATGCCACTGAACCATGTGTGCTGCACTGGCTGAAATGGTCAATTTAGTTAAGATTTTTTTTTTTTTAATCTTAATTAAGAAAAAAGTAGGGCGTTGGGGAGATGGCTCAGTAGGATAAGTGCTTGACTGGCAAACTCAAGGATCTGAGTTCAATCCCTGGTTCCGAAAAAAAGAAAAAGAAAGAAAAAGAAAAAAGTAAGCAATATTGTTGAGGAATTATACTTAGTTCATATCACAATAAAATAGCAATGACACTCCTGTGGACACTTCTATTTTGTCTCTGGATGTCCCTGACCAAGTATTTTCAGATATTTCTTAGAGATGGATATCTTTTCTTTCCTGGGCAAGTTAAACAGAATAAGGGAGCAGTGGGGTGAAAATAGGAAAAGCTCAGCTTGAATGGAAGGCCAGATAGTCTACACCAGTGGTGGCAAATCCATGTGTGTGAGCTGTGGTGGGCTGCTTGTGTCACTGAAAGCTCTAAAAGGTTTGAAATCACTGTAATACAGGAATAAGATCAACACTACAAAAAGTACTATCAACGCTTCCTAACAAAAGCCAGAGCATTTTCTATGAGCTCAGCTGAAACTTGAAATGCCTTAGAAAAAGAGCCACAGAATTGTGGCATACATTATTATGATGGCTTTTGTGAATATCCTCTGTAAATGATAGGCTATGATAATTTTTACTTGTCTGTCAAGATTAGAATCCTAGATTATCAACACATTTCTCTTCTGGATGATATAGGAAATATTTTTCAGCCTCTCAGAGTGCTGAGATTACAGGTATGCATCACCATGTCTGGCTCCTGTTTGAATTCTGAATGGATTATTTGGAATCTATAGATTGCTCTAAAAAGAACTGATAACAATACCGAATCTTTAGATTAGTCTATCTATCTCTCACTTAGGTCTTGGTATACCCTTAAATTATTTTCCCTCAAATGTGAGAGAAAGTAGTACATGGTAACAAGTCATGTCGGGAGAGCTAGTTTTCATTTTGATATGATTACTGTTCAGTTGAACTCCTTTCAACAGATACTTATGGGTACCTATTACAGAAAACTAATGAGCAGTGGAAGCATGGTACAGTTAGAAGATTTGTCATAATATAGATTACAGAATAAAGGTTAGTTTCAGGCAATTATAGTATTTGGTATTTATTGAACCAGTCTCAAAAAGTCTACTGACAAATTCAAGTGGTAAGTCCTATTCCTTACACTGAGCTTTGCTCAAATAAATTATGAATGAGATAAAGCTATATTTGCATATAATGGAAGGACAAATAATAGCTTAATAAATACCAAGTAAGTTGAGTATTGGAATCAGATTTTTAAAATGCTAATAGACTGGAAACAGTTGAAGTGATGAAATTTAATAAGGATACTAAAAATTATACCATATTTTATATTAAAAGTAATTAGTTTTATCTCTTTAAACACATTATTCTTTTTTGAAAATGCTATAATAACAATAAATCCACTTCAGTTCTCAAGGGAAAAAAGACATTTAAAAAATATTTTTTAGGGAAAAAATATATATGTAGCCATACACTTAATAAAACCATAATGCCAGGCAGCAGATAAGTGGCCATCTGGGAATGAGGAAGTGGGAAGGAGGTGATTGAAGGGGGAATGAAGAATGTGCACCTGGCTGGGCGGGGTGTTGCACACCTGTGATCCCAGGACTTGGGAGGTGAGGCAGGAAGATCACTGCCAGAACTGCATAGTGAGACCCTGGCTCAGAAACAAACAAAAAAGAACGTGCACCTGCCCTCCCAGCTGTTTGGGAGTTTGACCACTTCATCTCAGGAGTTCAAGGCTAGACTGGGCAACTTTCGGAGTTCTCATTCCAAAAATAGGAGAGAAGCAGGAATAAGGAAAATTTTGGAGATGGATATCATTACGGTGATTGTGGTACGCATTTGTAAGATACACTATTTACTCATGTACTGTACATGTATGCATTTCATTGTACATCAACTATGCACTATAGAGTTGTATTTAAAATCATGTATGAGGGCCGGGGAGATAGCTCAGTAGAATAAGTGTTTGCCTGGCAAGTGCAAGGGCCTGAGTTCAATCCCCAGTTCTGCCAAAAAAAAAAAAATCATGTATGTATTGATCGTAGAAAATCGTGTCACTACTTCGACTAATGGAAAATCAATTATTAAAAAAGTTACAGGGCTGGTGAGATGGCTCAGTGGTCTAAAGCACCTACTTAGAACAAGCTTAGCAAAGCACAGGGACCACGGTTCAATCCCCCAGCACCACATGCCAGCCAGCCCCGCCCCCTGGTGGGCTGAGCTGGCCACACACACACACACACACACACACACAAATTAAAAAAATAAAAAATAAAAAATAAATAAAAAAGTTACATACAGATGTATGCTGTAATCCCAGCTACCTGGAAAGCTGAAGCAGAAGGATTGCAAATGAGGCCAGCCTGGGCCATATAACAAGACCCTGTCTCAAAATAGAAAATAAAAAGGCTATGGAGGTATCTCAGTGGTACAGTATCCCTAGGCTTGATCTTGATATGTCAAAACCAAGCAATTTGATTTGTTTCCACCCCTGGCTACAGTGACTAGTGCTGCTATGAACACTGCTACACAAGTACCCAGGTTCCTGTTCTTAGTATATATTTACAAGCAGACTTGCAGGATCATACGATGAAAAGTGAATGTTCAATCTTTTGGCAAACTACCTGTTTTGCAGTGCAGGTGCCTCATTTTATATTCACACCAGCAATACGCAGGGCTCCAATTCCATCACTATCTGACTGAGAGGGAAGTGGTGTCCAGTTTTAGTTGGACTTGTATTTCTCTAATGATTAGTGATGTTCCAAATCTTCTCATGCATTTATTGGCATTTTTGGAGGAATATTTATATCAGTTCTTTAATCATTTTATAATGTGGGTATCAGTTTTCCTATTGTTGTTAACAAGATATATATTTTGGATACCACCAGCTTCTCAGACAGAGGATTTCTAAATATCTCCATTCTGTAAGTTGACTTTTACACTTGATAGTATCCTTTAATGCATAAAGTTTTAAATTTTGATTAAGTCCATTTTATTGTTTTACTGTTACCCTTATTATGCTTGGACTCTTGTTTTTTTAAAGTGAACACCATTATGATAAAACCAGCATTTTAGGGAAATGAGAATCTTGCTGGTATCCATTCTTCTTTACTCTTCTAAGTGTCTGCCAAACTTGTAGCATCATCTCTGATTCTATAAGTACGTTCTATGATTTATGTGTCTGTTACAAATATGAGCTTTTACTAAAGAGTTTTCTATGTGCTCTGCATTTTTTTTAAGGGCTCCTCTCCATTCTCTTTCTATTTAAGGTCATTTGAGACTATAAAGTTCCAATTGCATTTTTGCTCATATTCATTCCTCTAAATCTGTATTTACTTCAGAAGTCTTATTCTCTGGAATCATATTTATCTTTTAAAATGTTTGAAAATTTGTCTTCTTAGAGTCTTGATCACACACTTCTCTGGCACCAGCCTAATCTTTCCTGACTATAAAAGGATGGGTGTCAATTTGTTCTCAATGACACTCCTTCTTTATTTCTGACACTTTTTCCCTCAGACTGCTGTCATGATGCCATATATCTTCTGTGTTATTCATGTGGCTAACGTGGCACATTCCTAGTTAATTCCTTGATCCTTGTTAATAAGAAAACTCTGAAAGGTAGATTTTATTCAAATCAGACTTTAAGTAGCTAGCTAGCAGTTCACGCTTTTGCCAGCATTTCTTTCTGTTATGTCAGTTTGTAAAGAATGCAGCATTTATTTCCAGTGGTTATTGTCTTTGCAGAGACTCAGATCATGATACTGTTTATATAAGTCTGTCATTTAATTTTTGTCCAGGTAAACACATTTATTTCCAGGTCACTTTTTATATTATTCTAGGGAGATAGCACACTATGTCACTGAGGTATTAAAAAAAAAAAATGAATATATTTAAACAAAATTAGAATCACAGAATGAAAATCAGAACACATTCCTGGAAGATTAATGCAATACGCACACTTTATACATAAAAGTCACAAGATCACATGAAGACAATGAAGGCCCATTTTCTTTTTTTTTCCTTTTTCATGGATTTATAGTCTACAGATTAAACATAAACTATAAAGACTAAATATGTATTTATATGTATATTTAATTTAGAATGGAAGAAAATACATTCTTTTATTAAACTTTATTTTTTTAATGTATTTAGCACAGGGTCTAGAGGGTCTCTCACTACACAGATCAGACTCGTAGTGATCGTCCTGTTTTCAGCCTTCCAAGTGCTGGGATTACAAGTGAGCACCACCACACCCAGTCTTAGTCAATGGCTCAGCATGCCCCGGGGGCAGGGTCTGCAAGGCATGCAGGGATTGAACCTAGGTTAGTTGGCTGAGCTATCTGGCTGGCCGCAGAAAATATATTCTTATAAACAGAAAAAGCTATAATACTTCAAAGGAAATTCTACTGTATCATCTTCAATTGTGAAAAAGTGGCAAAAACGATATAATAGTCAAAAGCTAAGTACAAATTTTATAAATATCTGCTCACAATGTATTATATTAAAATTACAGACTCAAGACTTTGAAGAAAAAGAAAAAAAGACTTTGAAGAGTTTAGTGATAAATACTTCTTTTACCTTGATTATGGCCACAGTCGCAGGTCAAGATGTATTTCCAAAACTCATACATAAACTACATTAGAAAGAATGAATTTTATTCTACTCAAATTGAATCTCAATAATCTAGCCTTTTTAAAAATAAATATTTTAGTAAGAGGTTAGTATACACCAAATGAAAACCTAAATATTTATTTATTTGTGTGTGTGTGTGTGTGTGTGTGTGGCCAGCTCAGCCCACCAGGGGGCGGGGCTGGCTGGCATGTGGTGCTGGGGGATTGAACTGTGGTCCCTTTGCTTTGCTAAGTTGTTCTAAGTAGGTGCTTTAGACCACTGAGCCATCTCACCAGCCCATGAAAACCTAAATATACTAAGCCAGAGCAGTGGCAATTTTATGTAATTCTTGAGGACATTTACACAAAATTTAAAAATTCATTCACATATTTGTAGACATTTACATAGGTTACAAAAAGAAAAACTAGGTACTACTTTGTTTAAAAAGGTAACTCACCGTTTCATTTCCAAAAAGTATGTCAACGTAAGGCATAACTTTCATCAATGGTTCCTTGTAGAACTGGCTAATAAATGGTGCAGACAGATTCAAAGTGAAAATCCTGTTGTTTTCAGAAGCATACTGAGCCACTTTTAATATTGACTCTGGGGAAACTGTAAGAAAAAAGCCCTGGATAAAAAAAAAGAGAGAAAGAAAGAAAAGGAGGGAACATTAGAAATGTCATCTCCACAGAATCTCTCTGATGAGAAAAAAAAAGATCTATATACAAAATATAAAAGCCTATCTAAGATACAATTATAAGAAACAAGGCAGAAAATAGCTGTATTTAACTGAGAAAAAGTTAATCATGAGTACTATAAGCTTAATACATGCCATACTTCAGAGAATAAAACATTGTTTCACATTAGATTTATATTGAATATTGAAATAATTAGGGACTCTACAAAGGATAAAGATATTTAAAAGTTCTCATTCAAGACGTTAACTACATATAAGGAAACAGTAATAAAGAAGCAATCTTTCTAGCTTCCTGTAAATAAGTTTGCATTATTTTAAGTGAACTAAAAACAGTCTGTTTATTAAGATGGGAGTTTATTACTTTAACACACATCTAAATGGGATTTTGGAGGAAGAATTTTTAAATAATGAGAAAATGATTCAGTAATGTAAAAGAAAATTATGCTAATTAAAATCTTATCAGGAAAGCAGTATTTCAAAAATGCTATTTATCTACATCTAATACCAGTTAAAATCTTATTCAGATATACTTATGCTCTCAAGATATGGGTGCTTATGTAAGAAACTGGTTCAGATGATGCACGAGCGAGTACAAGAAAAGCCCCAAACACAGCAGAAGATGGACTCGGGCAGGCCAGTGGAGCTCAGAGCGTAAACTGTTGAGTGGCCCGATAGGAGTGTGTTTGGTGAGCAGTGTGGAAGTGGACACAGACTGATCACGGGTAATAAATTTTCTTGAAAGAAAGACATAAACAGAGAAAACTAAAACAAAAGTTAGTCTGGACAGCAGCAATGTCGCAATTGTTAACAAAATGCTGCATTTGGCTGTATTAAAGAAAACTACACTGACAGTATTACATGCAAGACTGGACCACTGTTTTAAGATCTGGAAGGCAAACGAGCCAAAAGATGATTCAGATTTTGAAAATGGTATCACCATTAATAGGAAAATCTAGGGTAAGATGTATCTTATGTGGTTAAAGGAGCACGTTCAGTTGAGGGGCTGGGGGACCTTCAGGTATGTATCAGAAAGTAGGCTTAGGGGAGAGGTTACAGGAGGAGACAACGGTGAAAAGGGGCCGTAACTACTAAGGAAGAAAATGCAGAAGAAGAAGAGGACAAAGGACTGAATGAAGAACAATGACATCTAGAGGAGAAAGGAAAGGAAAAAAATGTAAAAGACAGAACAGGAAGAATGCAAATGAGGGAAAAAAACCAGAGATTGAACAAGGGGATATTTAGAATGAAGCTTAAAAATGTTCAGTGCTATCAAGAGGCAGAAAAAGAAAAAAACTGAGCAAAAGATAGGCCTTGAGGACAAGAAGGCACTTAATATTCAGGTAAACTGCACAGGTGTTAAGGAAGGTGAGGGAAGCAACTGAAAGTATAATTTACTTCTAACTACAGAACTAGCCACTCAACTTGTACACTTGAAAAGGAAAAAAAAAAGAAAAAAGAATGAGAATGAGTTTTGTGGCAGGGGTTGTGTGTATGAAGGATCATCTTTGAGGAGGTTTACTGCCCTTGTACATCTTAGGTTATTTAGGATATTAAGAGAATTTTATACCATAATTGTATTCAATTTTATAACACGACACCTTCCAATCTAGTACCTTGTCAACTGAAAAAAGCGGTAGAAGGCAGGTGATCGATCTGACCTTCCCCAGCTTTCTGTGCGAGAAGTAGCCATGGAGGAGACCGACTAAGAGTGGATCACAGGACCCTCATTCCAGGGGGTGCTCAGCTAGGCCAAGGCCCAGAAGTACCTGAACATGTATCACCGCCTGGGATCCACCCTTTCACCCCCACTTTATTGCCATTAGATGAGAATCTCGTTGTCTAATCAAGTTTCTCTTCAAATATCCATTTATTCATCAGACTTAATATAAAAGCACAGTTTTCCACGGGTCTTCATGTCACATAAAACTCTTAAGCTTGCAGTATTTGTCTTTTCTTCACTGGTCTTTTGTTACAAGGGTCTCAGCATCATCCTTGAAATGGATGAGGACAAGGTACTTTATTACTCTTTCTCCCTTATAATCATCACTTATCAAATTAAAGTACTGATAGTTGGGTATGGTGGGCATTCCAGAGGCTGAGGCACAAGGATGAGTTTAAGGCCATCCTGGAATACATTGTCAGATCCTGTCTCAAAAAAAATCCAACCGAACTCAAGGCAACCCAACCCAACCCAACCCAAGGCTCAAAGTACTGGTAATAAAATTCTAACAAGAACCATGTTTCCAGTCATCAGAACAAAGTTTGCTCATTATTTTAAATTTCTAAGCTCTTGATTCTTTTCATAATATCCAAGTCATCTAAAAGTAGTAAGTTGTAGGTATCATTATTTTCAAAAAAATTTTTCACCTTTCTTTTTTAACCAAATGCCACGTCCCCTGCAAACTCTGAGCATCCAAGCTGCTCCCTTTGCTATTTCCGTCATTCAGAGAATTAAGAGGAAACATTCATACAGCATCTTGTCTCCATAGTAATATATATGGACTTGCTTTTTAGGCTTTCATTTAATGAGAAGAGTTTAAAGCTTCCCCCTTATTTCTTTCCAAACTGTTCCAGCATGAAATAGAAACCTCCCAGAGCTAGTGTTCTGCCAGCTGTGGATTAGCCACAGACAGTCACAGAATGGTCTACATAAATAGTAATCTGGTCAAATAATTAGGCTTCTCACCAACTTTAGACTGAAAATTTGATCTGTGCTAAAATACATCTGATTGTAATTTAAGGTACCGAACAGTATGCCTCTGGAGTATAAAGCTGGCCTCCTGCCAAATGTGTGTATGTTGTATGTGTGTTTTACTTTAAAATGCAACACAAGAGTACTGTGATGTAGACAGCATAATTTTGATTTTATGAAAAAATAGATAAAAACCATTAGCTTTAAAGTAAGAGGTAAATTTACAATGTAAAATAATTCCATATCTTAAGTGTTCTCATTTTTTCCTCTAAGTAAATATTTAGAATTTAAACAACTGGAGATTTGTGCTCTGTTACATTGCTAAAACTGTTAAAATCCATGCCAAACATAATTTTTCTTCCCGGATTTATAACCTTTACGAGGTCACATGTTCCAGGCTATAGTATCACCCAAAATAAAAACAGTACCATTACAAAAAATTGTTCCTTCATGTGTCAGGTTTGCAGTACAAACAGGCTAACAGTTCATGTGTATAGTAAGAAAAATACTTTATGTAATCAACAAAATCTAGTTAAGGACTTCAGTCTGCCTAACTGGTAACTGTTGGATTTTGTTCCTACCCCATGAACAACTAAAAGTAGATCAGAACACCAAGAGGTTGGATGACAATCAGAACTGAGACTGACATGGGACATTTGTCTTCACTACAGTGAAAATAAACAAATGAAACAGGCAGAAATATGAGGGGGAGAGAAAGACTAAGGTAGGGCTGAAGACCATCTCATAGGAGTCAGACTTCGTGCTCTGAAGCCTCAACCACGTGAAGGATTTGGAAGAGTAGTTTAAATACAAGAGAATGTTAGAAACAAAACTGTTCAACCTAGTAAAGAGAAGAAAAGGAATTGCTTTTTTCACTCTTGCCGATCTAGAGATTGATCCCAGACCCTTTATCCTGAGCTTAGCCATATTTTTTTTTTTTTTTTAAATTTTGAGACAGGACTTCCCTAAATTGCCTAGCACGGGATTGAATTTATGATCTCGGTGTCCCAGCCTCCCAGAAATGTGCATCACTATACCTGGCTAGAAACCCTTTTTTTTTTTGGCTCTTTCCCAGTGTTTGCCTTAACTGAGGTTGGTGGTTTGGGATTAAAACAAAACAAAACAAAACAACCCTGCTGTATTCTTACGTAACAGCACAAACTTTTTGTTATTTACATTAACATTTATTTGAAAAATAGGTATGTGTGCATGCGTGTATGTATGTACACAAATATATACCCGTGTGAATATCAGGGATTTATAGCTCCTAGCAGTAAGTCTATACCGATTTAGAAGAACATAAAGCTGTGTACAGTAATCCTGACTATGCACTTGGTCTTAGCCAAATGGCTGAGAAGCGACTGTCCTGACTGTAATTATCAATTGTGGACATGTCACAAAGTGGGGGTGAGGCTTTGCTTAGAAACATACTCTGCTCAGAGTATTTTGCAATATTCACATCAGTGGATTTTATCCTTTTGACTCCATCTTCTCTTCTAAATACACTCATGTGAAAACCTTTGCTAAGGTGGCAGAAGAGCGGGTGAGCAAGCTTCCCAAGCTCATCCACAAAGCATGAGTAGGGGGTGGATTTGTCTGAATGGTTAGAACTTGCCGTTTAGTTTCTTTGCTCATATATCCATTTGAATTCCATTTTGGTTAAAAATTTTAAAAATGCGTAGAAATCTATAATAAAAAATGTCTTGCAAGTTTACAGAGAAAGATTATATATAGATTCAGTAAAGAAACACTGAAACCTTTGATTGGCTCTCTTCCAATACCAGTTGGGGGTGGGGGTGGGGCGAGACAACAAAGCACCAGAAAAAAAAAACGCGCATATTTTAGTCCATGAGGAGCTTAAAAAATGAATGAAACAATCATTAGGACGCCAGCAGTTAAGGGAGTCAAGGAAAAGAAAAAAATTCTATTGAAAGAGAAATTCACAGTAAATTAATACACAAACAAATATTTTCCTCTAGCAACCACAGAACCAACCTGGCAAATGCTTCATGATGAAGAAAGAAATCTATGTATTTTCAAGCTGGGGACTGAACCCAGGGCTTACATGTGTTGGGAAAGCGATCCCTAGCCCCAAACACACACAGTACTACTGCCGAAGACAGCGCCACTGACAGTCTTTCAGGAAATAATCTGAAACTACACATGGGTAAACATAAACAAATTCATACTTCTGGATCCAAAAATTCCACATCTGAGACTACTTTGAGGAAATCACCCA